TCATGAGTGACTTGGCCAAAGGGCCCAGTTAACATGTCAGTATCTGAGAAATGAGGCGTCTACACACCCCCTGCACCCCCCTCTGGATCTGCCAGTGACATATTTATCTTAATGTGTGTGTGGAGATATGAATGCATTGGATTAAACCTCCTGAACATGATTGATAGTTGCAATTAAGACTATATGCTTGATTTGGACATACTGCAAAGAAGGACCTTCTTTTCATCACAGGACAATAGGCACATCCACTCAATCAATAGGACCCAGGAAAGTTGTAACAGAATTCACCACGCCATTCTCTTGCTTAATACCAGCCGGGAAGCATTACATAGTAGTTAGGTAAACAGTATAATCTCTGTTTCTATTTCAAGTGAGGGTAGAACTGCACGCAATGCCCACATGCCTGTGGGTAGTACAACAGATTGCCCCACCCAGGGGACTGGTAGGGATTAGAGGGAGGGTCCCTGGTGCAACCTGTTGTATTGTGGGCAGATGTGGGATGCTGCAGAGGAGGGTCCCCTGTCAAAACAGAGATTAGTGGTGTTCCCCTGGGACTAATTAAGACCAGAAATCTGCTCTCTGTAAATGCTTATTTTCTCTTGGATTAAGAGGAAGATAGGGACATGGCCAGGATTTGTTGCATTCTGTTGAAATAATGTGAACCAGAAGGACATTCACTCAGTTTTTGAACCACAGTTCTTGTTATATTATTTTTGTGGCTTTTATTCTTTATTTGTGTTTGTTGGGTTATCATATGTGTGTTAAAAGGTGACAAAGCAACATTGATTTTATGTTATTGATATATATTTTTTTCAATAAGGTAAAATCAGAAACTATTAGATTGATACACTAATTTAGTTGAATGATAAAGCAGTGTCCAATTCTGAATAAATAAATAGCCAGTGATTCTGTGGCAGTTGATGAGCTAACCAAGAAATTACTTTTGTGTTTGTCACCATTAACTGAAAACAAATTAGGCCACACCCACCAATGGATAACTGCTTTTGATTGGCTGAAAATAGAATACTCGGGGCTTGTGGTGCATAATTGCCGATAATTGTCACCGATTTCGTACTGTTGTCTTCAGTTTTTGTGTGTTAGTGATTTAATAAGCAGTCTGTGAAGTTATAATTGTTGGCATATTTAGTTATAAGGAGTGACTTTTTTTTCTTTCTTCTGTTTGTTTTTGCTCTTATGGAGTTATATACGTAAGAAACAATGTGCGCACATGCAGATTTACACAGTATGCACACTGAATTTTAGGTTAAAATTTCCATAAATGCAACTAAAATTGAAGTCAATTCTTAATTATCAAATTCTGATACTTAGATAATGCTTGTTAATGACTTGCAAAACTAAACATAAACATGTTGTTCAGCAATGATACTGTGATTGAGTATGAAATCCTGGTGATTACAGAGAAGGAGGCGATATAATCAGTAAATAAATACTGCTAATAAGTAGTGACACTAATGATGAATGACCAATTCCCTGTGGTCAAGAAGTGTATATCTGTGTATATTTACCTAGTATCAGCATCTCTGACGGGACCCCACTCAACTGGCAGTGTGTTAGAAATCAGCCAGGCTAGAGTGCCCATCCATCATGTGATAACCCTGTATATCACATGGCGCTGATACAGACCAACATGCATTCTGGTTAATAACATAAAGCTGTGGTATGTGCATGACCTTAGTAGAGTCCATTTAGTGGATGAAAGGTGTCTGGTCTGACCATCTGCCCTGCTGGGTAGTTATTGTCCCGTATTGTTCGTGTAGCGTGTTTCCCGAGCAGTAATCAGCACTGTGTAGTCTTTTAATGCATGGCCGCTCGGATGAGCAGTTGGTCTGAGGGCACTCGGGTTAATCAACAGCCACGCTTCGTTCTCTATGACCATTGTATTGGCTATGGGGAAAATGTGAACTCATTTATGCTCTGAAAGACTTGTCAGTTCTTTTGTCATATATTGGAAAGAAAATGATATTTGGTTAATCAGGAGACTTGGTCACGGAGGCTGCTGTGGTAGATGGATACAGACTCTTTATTCCTTTGAGAGATGAACCCTCCAGATTGGACAAGGATTATCAAGTTCGGTTGATGATTGGCATCCTCGTTGATCAAGGACCAAGGATTAACTGAGCGGATATTCACGAGCGTTTCCTGACAAAACAAAATTCCATGGTTAATCTTCTTAAGGATTGTATGAAAGAAATAACGAGATGAGGGGGATTAAGTTTCATCAGGAATGATACCTTGATGCTTTTATTGCAATGCGTCATTTAAATGGTAAAACTTCAAAGCATCTTGAATGAAGCGGACACGAATTTGATAGGAAGGCCAGGCATAACCATGGGTCTCCATGTTTGGTTTGTAATTTTGTTTTGATGTTGATATCTGTTTGGACGTGGTGTTTGGCTCGATGGACAACAACAGATGGTATTGTACGCAAACCTGGCCAAATTGAAGTTATTTTTCTTTGTGGAGGACACGTGTGTATGTACTGACGGGTATTCCACAGGTGTGCATAGCCATACCTGGACTAAGCCAGGGTTATTGGGAGGCTTATCTCTGTATAGACTTTTGATGGTGAGGGAAGCGATAGCCTCATTACATTTATCTGTCTGTAAAGCTTGAATGTATGTCTGTATTGTGGATCCTGGAATGTTCTCTTGAGAACTAATTAACCGAGTATCACCAACATATCGCTCAGATCTCGGGATAACATAGTGTTCCAGGTGTGAAACAAATAACACTGGAACTTGTCGTCAACTGTTTCACTGGTGGAAGAACCAACACGCCTCTAATTGGAGAAATTGGCAAGTTTCTTGATCATTGGTAGAGAATGTGTATTCTCAAAAATAGCTCACCTCGAAGTAGTGGTAAGCAGTTAATCAAGATGAAGATGTTTGAAAGAAGCGAGTGAGCTTTTTACCACAGGAATACAAGGTGATGACAGAGGAAATCTTCGGTCAGGGAGGCTGGAAAGAGTGTTGACAGGAAGACAGTGGTATCGTGGTTGAAGATAATTTATGGATGGTGAAGGTCGCAGTTTGGTGACCACGGAGAGTTAATATAGTGATAACTTGTGACAGGGACTGGCTGAGTTATCATACTGAGATAGGACGGCTCTTGAACAATGGAGAGATGGACACACAAAGGGGAGACCTGTGTATATCTGTGATTTAAGGCTATGTTGGAGTGATTAATGAGGCACTGTACTATTCTGGGTCTTCCTTGCAGACTTTGTTACCAACTGATTCAGGTATTTGTTGAAAGTCAGCAAATTGTGACAGCTGATTCTGTTTGTAATATTCTGGTGTAGGCATGTGAGGACAACATTGATGCCTTTAATGAGAACTGATAAGTTTGGGTGATATTGATAGCCGAATTCAGATTCTGGCAACAATTTGCCCTTTGTTGCCTTCTGTTATTAAACCCTGTGAGACTGTTTGTCTGAGGGAATATCTCCCAGCTGATTACAACTTGCCTTTTATCAACCAGAAACATTTGCTTTACACAGTTCATTGTGGATGGAGGGAAAAAACCCACCAAACAAGCTGGCTGTCAACGAAAGTGACAGGTCATGATATACTTTGTGTAGATAAGTGTAGACCCACTGTTGGAGGATTGGAGTATATTGGAAGCATGCTGCTCACAGTGAAGGCTTGTTGAGGTTGGACGGACGGCCCTGAGGGGTATATCTGTTCAGTAGGGCACCGTATCACTTTCTTACTGAACAAGTCTAGAGCTTGTGTAAGGTAGAGGAGGGATGTAACAAGTGTGTCACATTTTCTACTGGTTTGTCTTTAGCGTAGTGCAATGTTTGGCAGGATGGCTTAAGTTTACATAGGAAGAGGTTTGTCGATCTGTGAATGACGATCACAGCCGGGATTACGGTGGACTTGAGGGGACAGTCTGTGGACTGAGAGAGAGACTGTTATATTTGTGGAGGGCTACAGTTGTGTGTATTGGTGCTCATGGAGATGAGATTTATAAGATAAGATCTATGACATTTGACTTTCTTATCAACTGAATTTTAAACATTTGAAGACAGTTGGTATCGGATGTCAGCATTTCAAACTTATCACTGCATTTGAGAAATGAGTTTATCACTTTCTTTTTGAAGCACTGATAGCAGGTATATTGAAAGTTTATGAAAGAATCATTGACTGGTTTGGTGGATCCGAAGTCTGTTTCAAGACATCAATATGCTACTGGACTCAATGAATCGAGGAATTATGGACTAATTATTGATTATTATCTGTCCTCTGAATGAAAGAGATTGATGATATGTATCGTTTGAGGACTCATTTCTGTGTGGAATGTGACATCCGCTGACATCTTGAATCAGTGTAACCGGTAGATCCGTCACATTCTATTTGTTCAACATTTTCTCGGGACTATTTTTTCATGACAATTGCAAATACTGGGTTGTGAAGGGACACAAAGTCAAGCAGCTGGATGACATTTCCACATTGCTGGACGGTCTTGTCGCTAATGTGCAGAGTATTTGTCTGAAGAGACTCCCCTCACAACTACTCGGATGATCTGAAGTCTGCGCGTGTGTGGTTGAGTGACATTTGGCAGTCGGGGCAGACGCCAGTTCTCACTGCACATGCCATTGTACAGGAAAACACCTCAGGGTTGGCTTAACGTCTGTAATTATCATACAACATAACCACTTAGACGTGAGATGGAAGATTTGCCAAATTGTTGGTAAGATTTATGCTTATCATGCATACTGGACGAATTAGTCAAAGCCGATTGTGTGTTTTTGTCATCATGGAAAAAAACGACTTTTACTGACTGACATCTGTAACTACTGAACACAGGAAACCAAACCTTGCGTGAGCCGAACTTGGCATCAAAGTGTCCGTGGAAAAGTGAATGTTCGACCGGGTGTTGTAAAGTGCACACAAACACTCCTCTTAACAAAGTGAATCCTTACTAACGAGGAATAATTAACATTTATTTCCTCAGTTCACCCCGAGGAACTCCCGTTCATTATTTTCCATACCTGTGGAATAGTTGGAGGTTTAGTTGAGCGTATTGTTCTATATGCAGCTGATGTGGAATGACTGAGTGCATTGTTTATGCATTCAGCGCATGACTTACATTTGTGGGACTTGTTTATACACCAGTATCACTGAGGGAGAGTTTATGGATGCATGTCTGGCATATTTCGTACAGTCATCACCGGAGTAGATTGAGTGACCGAGTTGGAAGAGCTTAATTAGATTGTGTGGATATATTGATACCTGAATTCAGTCCAGCTTGGCCTCGATCTTTGTGCCTCCATTGTAAGAGAATATCAAGCATTCATCTCATTGTCAACAAAACCCAAGTGGTTATTGTGCTTGGCAAAGCGAAATAAATGCCGATCGTGAATCCATGATGGACAGGTATTGAGCAGACAACGATTTTTCTGGCGGTTGATTGTGCTGGCGTGTCACAGCAAACAGGGATGATGGCAGGCGTGTGTTTTTAAACAGCTCAACGATGTGGGGTGAAGTCGGGCATCCACAGCCATAAACACAAAGCATATGTCCAGAGAGATCTGACATTGGGAACATAGTAATCTTTGTCAAGTTGGAGCAGACATCAGCTGGAGTTCTTTTCCCCGCTGCAAAACTGATAGACTTTTCTTTGGATATCTATCAACAAAAGCAGGGAGGACTTGTCACCTGGTCCAGAGTCTGATCATAAATGTTTTGACTCCCACACAAAAAGGTTCTGTGGACTGTTTGTGGAGGGAATATTATCTGACAATACTCCTCACAATACCTGTGCTTGGGAGTGCATTCAGTGGTTCGGGGCAGAAGTTGCGAGGCTGCTTCATAATAATGTGGCAGATGTGAAGTTATTGAAGTGGAGCCATCACACTGAGAGGAATTAGTTAGGATAGAACCCACTGAGGAAGACCGACGCCTGTGCTAGTTCGTTTCTAAACTTGAAGGTTAATATAACTGTAACTATGTGCCATGGACCATGAAATTAGCCACGTGCCTGTTAAGGAGGGATGTTTGGTTGTAGTCGGTGAGGCATGTCTGACAAGTGTCTTTGTTAAGTGATGTTTGATATGTGCGTGTAGGTATACAAGCCTGATCATGAAGTGTCACTAATACACCTACAAGATTTTCAAGTAGCAGACGTCAACTTGACAACTGATGAATTTCAAGCCAGTCTTTGTTCTAGGTGTAATTTGTTGGAAGAAATTAAACCAGGAGATTTCCACTTTGACGACCGTGATTTCTTGATGTATGGACCCAGGCTTTGTCCCAATTGGTCAGACACCGAGACTTTTCATTGGCAATTCAGGACCAAATAATGAGGATTGATTATCGTGTTATTAACCACCTGCCTGTGGAATATATGTTATTATCACATGACTGTGATTTGTGAAGAGGTCAGACTGAGCAACAGTTTGGATTCCGTTCCAAGTCAACTTTGATTACTTCATTGATGGTCACAAGTTGGCACTTTGTGATCTTGTGGTTACTTTGTGTCCTGAACAAACTACTTGGAGATTATTGAGTGGAAAAGTTGTTTAAGATCAGTTGAATGATCTGTGTGGATTTATTGCAGTGTGTGTGTACAGGTACAGTGCCAGTGCCATTTAGATGAGGTAGATGCCTGGGGCTTATCCTAATCCTGTTGACAGAGACTTGCACAAGAGGGAGAGGACGTAACATTGTTTGCTTGACTCAAACTGGCTTAGATACACTGTAATTTGCTTCAGTACAAGGGTTAACTTGTTGACGGTTGTCCGTGAATCCACCACATTGGGACTTCAAGAGGCTTTATGAGGTTGGGAGAGGTGTGAGGATTCTCTCCTCCGATTACTGACCAAACAGTGTCACACTGTCGACTATTGTTCCTTGGGGCAGACGGCTGGTTGTGAGTCAGTGTGACCGTCTGCACGCTCATCCGAACTCTCAATCTCCCCCACAATCATCACCGTGGGTTTACAAGCTACAGATGGGAGTGTGAATCATTATCTACAGTTTTTCCGTGCTGTAATCCCCCTTCGTGCAAATGTACGGGTGACACCCTGACCCTCACGTCTCAGACACACGCCTCCAAGTCACCAAGATTCCTTGCGGCAGATGTAATCACTGACTTTTTTCTGTGAAGAATTTCAAGAGTTACATAATTTGATGCAGCCTAAGTGTGTGATGTAATCGAATATTTTTTGTTTTCCTAGTCCCAAGCAAACAAAGAGTTATCACTGATCTTGCGTTGCACCCAAGCTATCACTTGCGTCTCTAAATGCCATCTGTCCTTGGAACAGCAGAGAGTGATTCTAGCCAAGCTAACTCCACACAGGAATTTATCTTACAAAGGACAGAAGCCACATCCTACAACTTCTCCCATGTGTGTGAGGCATGGCAGAATGTGACAGTTTAAACTATTGAAGCACTGTCATTGGTTAATTCGAAGAAGCCCTGGAAAGGCAGCATCAAAATGTGCATGTGCACCAAAGTGCAAGAGTGTGCAGTTGTTGTTTTTTAAATCTGAAACCCCCTCCAACTTGAAAATGCATACAGCAGGCTGCTAACAATTTTTCTTTGCTAAAACTTTGTTTTTGCATTCTTTGTTCGAATTCTGTGAGTTAACAGTCCATGAATTCCTAATGTCGATGTTGTGACATACCCAAGGTTCACATCACGTGTCAGGGACTCAAGGGTTGTGATCGCATGTCACGGTGCCACCGAGGTAATGTGACAGGAGACGCACTTGACAGCAGACGGTCAAGTGTGTCGTTCTACAACCATAGTGACCTGCTACCTTAGATCAACCCACATTCAACTTGAAAAACTCGGATATTGCTCTTTTCTCAATCAACGTTTCCACCTCAGGTCCTATAGGAAAAAATGACAGCAGACGGTCAAGTGCATCCATCTCTGCCATGAGGGTGACCTGCAGCCTTAGGAATCGTGAAAAATAATCTGGATATTGCTCATTTATATTGATTTGTGGAACTGTCACTGTTCGTGCTTGACTTAATGGTTCAAGAGAGGCAAACGGTTTAATTCTGGCATTGTTGGACAATTACACGCCTATGCAAGAATTATTCTCTCATTATTTCCCTGCTGTGAGATAATTTACACACATGGAGTGACTGGTCATATATTCATGATGGTGAAGGAAACAGGGTATAATAATCTGCTATCATTACCTAGAAAGTGGGACATATCAATAACGTTAGCCTACCAGTACAAGTAACTATGTGTTGACTGGCTGGATGCTATTGTTCATTGGGTAATATTGATCTGTTATACACTCTCCCTTGTGCTGGACCAGGACCTGTATCATGAGTTTGTGAGACGTGGAGTCAACACCAGGATCATTAAGTGAGTGATCTAAGTAGATATGTCTGGAGACATTTACGGAGATAAAAACACATCAGATGCAGCAAGTTTGGATTTAATGGCTTTATGTTTAGCTAATAAGGCCCAGGTTTTATCTGCTTCAGTTCAAGTGATTACCTAATGTGACTGATGACCTCAATCCTGGCAGATGATATGAAAATCTAATGTGTCTTGGTTTTCTATCTTGTGCATCTTTGATACCCTCTGAGGAGGAGAGTGGCACTGTCAACTGTTTGGTGACTTGATGCAGAGAAATGATGACAGATGCTATCTATCAACGGGTACATGAATATCATAACTGATAACGATGTAGAAGACCCCTGTTAAATGGCTGGGTTTTCAGGACATAATTGAATTTTGGGATACAAACACTGTTCAGCTGATTGGAGACTGACAGTACATCAGTTGTGGATATATTATTTGTGATGTTATACATTGGTAAAATTTGGGTGTACCAATTTTGTCATCAAACTAAGTTGCTATGAGACTTGAATAAATCAGTTGTGGATACACAGTCAAAAATGATCTGAGACAGTTGTGGATTTATGGTATTGTGGATTTATATGTTGGAATATGGTGCTTATACAAGAGTGCACCATGAAGACGAACGTACAAGAAGACATGGAAAGTCTTCCCAAAATACCACCCCCCATGGACCTAATTCAGTGCACCACCCTCAAGATACGTTCCCCCGAGGGAGAAGGACCGCATTCCCCTCTCTCCCTGAAGGGAACCCCATTTATCCCCGGCTACTCCGACGTTGGATCAGGGAAGTGTGAGAAATGCACAAAAGGAAAGTGTACAGCCAAGTTTATTCACTTACAAGGCAGGTATCTTTTAAATTTATCATGAAACTGAAATGAATTATTAATTTTTTATATTCGTTTGTAGGCCGTGTGACATGTTTATTCCACTTGATAATGTGTTGGAGAGTGGGTTGATCGATTACTGGAAATGTCATCTTGTAAGAGAAGTCGGAGACAATGTAGTAAGAGAGGCTGATATCTCAATGAGGTATTCTCCATTAGATGGTCGGTCTCAATAGTCTCCGCTTGCACCACTCTATAGGACAAGTTGCTTCTCAGGTATGAGTTTCCTGGATTCTTTCTCCATTTCAGTATAATTTCTCACTTGATTAAGTTGCTTATATGGGGCTTTTGGGATACGTTTTGTCACCGTCATGATTGCTTGTTCAGGTGAGGGAGTGATATACGTTGAGAGCAGTGCTTCTGGATGAAATGTCATTCTGGTTTCAGTGTTGACTAATGACAAGTGGTGGTGTACATTCATGTTCACTATTGGTTAGGGGGGCTTTCACTTCGGAGCTGACTTACAAATCATTTTGGATTTTATGTTCATGGAATACAAGAAGCCTCAAGCCACACTCACTTAACCTCTGTATATTGGCATGATATCTCAGTCTTCAGGGCCTTCATTGTTTTATTTTGATCATTTTTTATGGACATCAGCACTGATATAATATTCATAATGCATATATTTGTACATATAAAAAGCTAATTTGGATATTTAAAAGTTAGCCTTAACAGACTTATAAGTTCAGATTTACAGAAAGATTTTATAATTAGCTTTTTTAGTATTCTTGTAAGTTCAGTTTTTTAAAAAACCCATTAGAATATTAATAACCGAGTTATTATTATACATATATATTCATAATTTAAATGTTAATAAATTACCTTTATGTTGCATTCCCCATCAAGTTTTCTGCTGAAATAATAGTATCAACTGGAAATAGTGTTTTACTAATAAGTTGCACTTGACAGGAGCATGTCAAGCTAAGGTTTGGTTGTGAATATACAGTTCTGTTATGTATATTTTCTGTCAGTGTTTTGTTCAATTGAGCCTCTGCTGTTAGCCTCATATTAAGGGGTCCTGTTTCAGGCCTTGTGTTGAGTTGAACACAGTATGAATATTTTACTATGTTTTAAATGCTTGTGACAGCGTACCAGAAACCATTACCTGTATTGATTACAGGTGTACATACCTGTTTGACTCAGGTGTCAGGAGACAGGTAAAAACAGGAAATTACGTATTGAAGTTTCTTGTAAGACAAGTATTGGCTGAAAACATGTTCTGCAAATCCTATTGTATATGGGTCAAACTGGCTATTATCATCACGGTAAGCATGCATGTGTTTATACTTAATCTCTACCATCTTGACAACTTCATGTTTTCACAAAGCAGGGAAACTGTTCATCCATGACAATGCCTACAGGCCGAACCTGGGATAAAAATCTAAATAAAAACAAACTATAAAATAATGAGAAAAATTGTGAAAAAATAGCCCTGAGCTGAAAAGCTTGAAGTGCAGTTTTCTGGAATATTGATTTGAGATTACGTCTGTGTTTGACAAGTTTTATGTGTCTGAATGGCCATAGGCTGCATTAAACTTCCTATCCTTGGGGTGTAGCCTGTCGACACCGTCCCTGTTCTCTGACCAGGATAGTGGCTTTGTCTCATGCGGCAGGGGGTGTGGGGAAGTTGAAATTAATTGTTTAAAATCAATTTTGCACTGAATGCAGTAAAATGTCCTAGTGTCCCATGTTGCAGTAATGTGGCATTCACCACTTGTAATCAATAGTAATTGGTGTAAATTGTATATTGAAAATATTGTGTATATTGATTTCTACCCGTATAAGAATTGAGAAAATAATAATCAACTTTTACAAGCTCAGTAAAAAAAAATTCAATCTTGTCAAATGAAATTAGACATGACTGGATATTATACCAATAGCACAATTAAGTGGCTTTTGATACTGTCCGGAAGCCAATCGAATTATGGGGCATTGCACCGATAAATTATTGACGCCTCCGCAGCGAAATTTATAAAGCTGCTTGGTTTGAGGACGTGAATGATGAGCTTGTTGTCATCCAGGACATATTACAACAAGCCTATTACCCTTGATTAATTTTATCTAATGACTGTTGATCATGCACTGCAGCCTTCAATACGCCAACCCAACTGTGGTTGATGTGAGGAGGAAGGTGTGAAAGGATGAATGGACAGGCTTAATATCTCATCAAACTTCCTTTTCATGTGCAATAACGAGATGATAATAATATCACGGGTATCTTTGTTGGGGTATGTTTTTATCCAGTCGTACTGCAGATTGTAGGGGTAGTGTTTGAACGGGATCAGAGTAAGTGAATTGTGAGAAATTGTGTGGACAAGGGGAAGCAACTCTGACTGTACTGTTCGACTGGACAGTGTTGTGATGTGTTGCAATGGGATTTGTCTGAAGAGAAGAAGGGATATTCTTTCACTTGGTCTTAGATATTGGAGATATATGTTTCTGGACAAAAATTTACATTTTGCAAGAACAAATACTGTAATGAATATTTCAGGCTTGCTGACTTGGTTGATGCATATTATTGTATCCCATAATATATATTGTGTGGATCGATGTTCATGATGTCAATCCCTGGATTGTCTGGTCCAGACTCAACTATCTACAGACCGCTGTCATATAGCTGGAATATTGCTGAGTGCGGCTAAACAACAAACGAAAAAAACAAAAAAAACCACTGGATTGTCAGGTCCAGACCTGATTTTTGCAACCCGCCGCCATACAGCTGGAATATTGCTGAGTGCGGTGTTTAACAACAAACAAGCAAACATGCCACTTACATTGAGTCTTTGGTTGTGTAAGTCATGATGATAGTTAGTGAGTGAGTGGTTTTACGCAACTTTTAGTAATATTCCAGTAATATCATGGCGGGGGACACCAGAAATGGGCTTCACACATTGTACCCATGTCAGTAACCGAACCCGGGCTTCGGCGTGACAAGCGAACACTTTAACCACTAGGCTACCTGACCACCCCACAATGATAGACTCTTATCACTTGCTGATAGACACTTCAGGCCTTTTGTTTCATTAGTTGGGTTTATAAAAAGTAAAACAATCATTGCTCAACTTTCACGTTAGTACTGCTGTGAATGAATGAAAACCAAACAGGTTTTGACATGGAAAGATACAGAAAGATAATTTATTGTGTTTTTGGGTAGAATAAAGATTTGTATATATGTGTAATTTACCATTTCTTACAAATAGCGAGACTACCTCCGTGGTCTAGTGGTAGAACATCCGCCTGGCCGCGTCATACCAAGGACGTTAAAAGATGGTACTTGTTGTTACCCTGCCTGGCGCTCGGCATTAAGGGGCTAAATCAAGGACTGGTCGGCTCAGACACCAGTATAGTGTGTCTGAGTGGGGTATTCATGTTAAACTGCGGTATGGTATCTCAGTGAGCTTGCACTATAAATTGGCATCAGTCCGGTCTAGAACAAGCAGCCACACACACGCACACATACATGTGCCTGCATGTCGCAATATAAATGCAATAATCTTGGACGCAACATTAAACCCTATTTCACCTCACCTCTTACAAACAGCAGTGATTAAATATTGTGGGTTTTTCCCTTTCACCTAATTGTAAAACAGTTGGCCAAATTTGTTTTGTCAAAAGTCTTTTTTTGTTTCTAATTTCAGTTTTTCTTTGTCAATTGATCTCTTGAACTAACTAAACAAATGTAAGGCCTTAGGATACACTGACTGTTTATTCTGGTTAGATGTAGTTTACAGGTTATCCTCATTGACAACAGTATAATCCTTTCTTTGTTATACCCTTTGTGAAAGGTTGGATTAAGAGGAAAGAACTTTCATCAAAAATTCATGTGGCATCTTTCGTCTATCGTAGACCAAGTTGAATATACTGCTGCGGCGGTCGGGTAGCCTAGTGGTTAAAGCGTTCACTCATCACGCCGGAGACCCAGATTTCTCCTGAAATGGGTACAATGTGTGAAGCCCATTTCTGGTGTCCCCCGCTGTGATATTGCTGGAATATTTAGCTGCTAAAAGCGCAGTAAAACCATACTCACTCACTCACTCACTCACTCACTCACTCACTCACTCACTCACTCACTCACTCACTCACTCACTCACTCACTCACTCACTCACTCACTCACTCACTCACTCACTCACTCACTCATGCACGCACTCACTCACTCACTCACTCATGCACGCACGCTAGTCTGTTGAGAATGTTTGCACACTGGAAGGAACGTGCTTAGAAATATATGGTACAGTAAACTACATTTGTAATGAACACGCTTGTAACGAACCTACGGATATGCAAACTTATGTTTTGGTCCCGGCCATTTGCTGTATATAAGCTGTACATATGCTTATAAAGAACAACAGTTATAAGGAACTAATATTAGTCAGGTCCCTCTGAGTTCATTATGACTGTAGTTTACTGTACATATACATTTCTTTAGTCGTATACGTACAGTAATCTACGGTTATAACGAACTCAGATGGACACTAATGACTGATTAACTGTAGTAAAATGAAAGAAGTGGGTGGCCCTTAGCTTTTTCTGAGTTGTATATATCAGATAATAAACATGAATTTATCTCAAACATTCCAAACTGTTTTAGTTTGAAAGGTAAATATTCCTTCTGTATTGGATGTAGGTGATAGTTAGGTGCAAGTTTTTGTAGGGAGTAAGGATCGGCAGTTGTGTCTCATCTGAAGAAAAACCAAACAAATTTCATCCCTTGTAAACAAAGGTTTTGTTGTTTTCTTGTCATTGAATGCAGTAGCCTGTTTGTTGCTGCTGATGAAAAGAAGAGATATGAAATTATAATGATGTGAAGGCGGTGTTTCTCGGGGCTTTTTAAATGTACCGTGAAGAAATCAAGCGATTATTCAGACTTGTGAAGACGCTAGTCATAACATTACTCTCAGTGACCTGCTTTGTTAGTGTGAAGTCATTTGAAGGAACACGATAAATCTTATATTC